GGTGGGAGGGTGAGTGGGGGAGGGTACGCTGGAGGGGGTCGATGGGGGGAAAAAGGAGGACATATGTAATACTTTCAACAGTAAAGATTAAAATAAAAAAGAAATCAGCATCATGCCTGCTTCCACTTTATGCAAATTCTCCCTGAGCCTCTTCATTTCAGAAAACAGCATCCCTCTCCCCCCCAAGGCCTGGACTTTGAACTCTCCTTGGGTTTCGTCAGCTACTCTGACATTCTTTCAAGAGGTTCCCAGGTCACATACACCAGCCAGTCTCGCTTGCAACCACCATATCCTTACTAACTGCAGGGGGCTCTCCCACCACCCTGAAAGGGAGCCTGTTTTCCTAAAACCAGCTTTCAGCTCCTCTCATCGCCTGGGTGAGGCCCTTTGGTCCCCGAGTCTGTGACCAGCGCCATGTGCGCCTCGAAACCACTCTGAGCATCGGGAGTGTGACCTAGACCCTCGGAGGAGCAGACAAAGACTATGAACCCTCTCCTAGAAGAAAACACTGTGACGGCTTAAACAGTGGGGACTCGAGGTTAAGGACTGCTATCAGTCCTGGCCGGTGTGGCTCAGTGAATAGAGCGTCGGCCTGCGGACCAAAGGGTCCCGGGTTCGATTCCGGTCAAGGGCACGTTCCTTGGTTGCAGGCTCCTCCCCAACCCGGGCCCTGGACGGGTCCCGCGCAGGAGGCAACCAATCGATGCGTTTCTCTCACATCGATGTTTCTCTCTGTCTCGCCCTCTCTCTTCCACTCTTTTTAAATATCAATGGAAAAATATCCTCGGGTGGGGATTAACAAAAAACAAACAAAAAGAAGTGCTACTAGGTGTCACCTCACCCCCCCTCTCTGACTAGAGCTCCAACTAGAGGGTCAGCGGCTGCTGCTGACACTGCCCAGGGAGCAGGGCGGACACGTGGGCGGAACGGCGGCAGGCCGCCTCCTGGTGCTGGGCTCAGGCTCTGAGCAGCGTGTCGGACATGCTTTCCTTTCCCAAGTGACATCCCCATTTCAAGGAACCTGGCATGTCTGAAAGGTCACCTGGTCTGGCAGCCCTGCAGGGCCAGAAGGGGCAGAGCTGCGGGCAGAGGTGTCCTGCTCACCATTGGCTC